CAAATAATGTTCAAATGAAAAAATATTTGCTACGAAAAAAACTAAACCTAAGCTGTTGAATATTTTATTAGATATTTCTTATATTTCTCATAAGTTTGATATACATTGAGTTTCCTAAAGGTGGGAACACATATAGCGCTTATCTGACTGGCTTAAGTCTTCGGCTGGCTTCTTGGAAAATGAACAAATGAGCCTAAGGCCAAAATCGATCTAAGTCAACCTAAAACTCCTTTGTTTATCTACGAAAAGAAAACAGTGGATGACTTAAGCCAGCCAAATATGCGCTTTATGTATTTCCACTCCAAGAGTGTCAACAACCGCTTCTTTTTTTCCTTCATTCTCATTAACAATCCTCCATAAACCTGCAAAACACGTGTTATGAAAGCACGTCGATTATTTGTTTGATGCATCAACGCTGGGAACATTGATACGTCAAAAAAATTTCAAAAATAAATAGAGTTTTATAAATTTTCTTATATGGCACCAATCGGAGGCTGTTATGCTATACATTTTTCAAAAATTTTTACAAATTTGAATAATTTTTCATTCAAAATTGTCAATTTTTTTAAAATATTTTTCAAAAATAAGTAGAACTTTATAATTTTTTTATACTACACCAATCGGAGGTTGTTATGATTTGCATTTTTCAACAATTTTTTACACATTTGAATAATTTTTGTTGTTGCAAAATGGTCCCTTTATTGTTGTTTTTATAAAAACAACGTTTGTTTATTAGTGGAGAACGATGGTAATGTTTTCCAAGGGGTAAGGCAGGGAATACCCATGTTTCGGAAAGAGTCACTAATCCTCCTGCCTTACCCCTGGTAAACATTACCATCGTTCTCCACAAATAAACAAACGTTGTTTTTATAAAAACAACAATAAAGGGATTAAGCCTGACCATTTTGCAACAACAAAATACTATGGTATCCCCAATAAACAAGCCAAAACTGTTTAATTTGAATAATTTTTCATTCAAAAAATTTCAATTTCAAATTTAGTTTGACATTTCAATATCCCAGTAGCTGAATTTTTCTACCATGAGTGGGATATAAACGATTACTTTTATTAAAACAATTTTAATGTGAACATAGCCCCCAGATTTTCTTTTTTGTAAAAATAATAATTTGAGGTGTGGCCTTTATCCTTTAATCAGAAAAAAATGCCAAACACATCTTCATTTCCTCTACAGAAACAAGTATCGTCCCTTTTATGCTCTAAGGAATACAATATCTACCCAAATGTCATCTGTGGCCATTAGCCTTTAACTGCTCTCTAAAACCTACTGAACACAGCTAAGCTTGAAACTCTTGAAATGGCATCGTAAAGAACATTATTTTACAAATTTTGAGTCATGGTAAAATTAAGAAGTTAAAGTAATTTCAAATCCATCTCAGCATTTTCTGTAATTTACCTAGAATTGAAAATATCGTCCCTTTTATGCTCTAAGAAATACATTATCTACCCAAATCTCGTCTAGTGTGATTTGTGGCCATTAGCCTTTAACTACTCTCTAAAACCTACTGAACACAGCTAAGCTTATACCTCTTGAAATGGCATCGTAAAGAACATTATTTTACAAATTTTGTGTCATGGCAAAATTAAGAAGTTAAAGTCATTTCAAATCCATCTCTAGATTTTCTGTAATTTACCTAGAATTGAAAAAATCATAGAAGGGACGATTTTTTCAATTCTAGGTAAATTAGAACATTATTTTAAAAATGTTGTGTCATAGTAAAATTACGAAGCTAACGTCATTTCAAATCCATCTCCGCATTTTCTGTAATTTACCTAGAATTGAAAATATCGTCCCTTTTATGCTCTAAGGAATACAATATCTACCCAAATGTCGTCTAGTGTGATTTGTGGTCATTAGCCTTTAACTACTCTCTAAAACATACTGAACACAGCTTAGCTGGAACCTCTTGAAATGACATCGTAAAGAACATTATTTTACAAATGTTGTGTCATGGTAAAATTAAGAAGTTGAAGTCATTTCAAATCCATCTCTGCATTTTCTGTAATTTACTTAGAATTAAAAATATCGTACCTTTTATGCTCTAAGGAATACAATATCTTCCCAAAAGACGTCTAGTGTGATTTGTGGCCATTAGCCTTTAACTACTCTCTAAAACCTACTAAACACAGCTTAACCTAAATCTCTTGAAGTGGCATCGTAAAGAACATTACTTAAACAATTTTGTGTCATGATAAAATTAAGAAGTTAAAGTCATTTCGAATTCATCTTAGCATTTTCTGTAATTTAACTTTTCAAATTTCACTAAATAAAAAAACAGGTTTCCATCTATTATTTCTGTGGATTTATAAATATTAATTTTAACAATCAGATGTTGTTAAATGAATAATTTTGAAAAATAATAATTGCTTTGATTTCTAATATTTTCAATTACATAACATACATGCGTACGTTTTACTGCAGGATTGATCATAAATTAAAGCTTGGTTATCTCTCTCTCTCTCTCTCTTATCTCTCTGTTCCAAAATTGTTTTTCTGAATGCCAATGGCCGCACATCAAATTATGTGAAATCAAATATGACTGGTAGAATGTGTGACACAAGAGGTGTTGTTTTTTTTTTCTTTAATATTTACAGCTATAGAAACATGTTTACATATACCAAATCCAATGGATTTCAACTGTCAATTCCATTGTGTATACGTCAAATGAAATCCACTGGATTTACGACTTGCTTGTTCATGACGTTGTGGCGTATGATTTACAAGCACTTTTCAATATATGTACGTTGCTTATACGTTAAACGAAGACAACGTTATTGTTGACAGGGTTGAGTTGAAGATACATAAACAGCTTGGCATCATGGCTTGGCATATTTATGTCAAATTATAAAGGAAAACGACGGTCAAATTCGAATGCGGCTTTGGCATCCCTTTATGATATGTCACAAAATATGCCATGCGAAGACTTCAAGTTGTTTATGTACTTACCGCTTTGTATTTATTATTGCAGTTCCATGGTAGAAGAATATAGGTAGTCGCATCGACACAGCTGCTGGGACAATGAACTGTCAAATCAATTTTGAAATTGAAAAATTTTGATGAAAGATGGTTGAAATTCGTTAAAATTGTTGAAAAAATCGTATCATAACAATAATCTCCGATTGGCGTTGCATAAGAAAACTTAAAAAAATATATTTATTTTTGAATAAAAAAACACTTTAAAATTATTGATATATCATTGTTTCCAAGCGTTGATGTATCTATCATTGTCCTTCTACCACGCTCTGTTCCAGAAATAGTACGAATGTAAAACTTTTACTACGATAAACGATTTTTCTTTTATGGCATCGAAAGATTCCTAAAAGCATTATCAGACAGAATGGGATTTACATATGTGCTGTAACTTTTATCATCCATATGTATTTCCCTGTGTATGTCAAAATTGCCATTTTACGTATGACTTTTTTGCCATAAAAAGAAATAAAGCACACAAAAATAAAAAAGGGCCAAAAAATATAAAAATTTCGATTCACCTTGCTTGCCCTAATATAAATCACTGGAAGAAGAAGACGAATTAGTCCAGCAAGAATTTGCAAACTCTCAGTAAAATAACTTTCAAAATCACTCTCTTTTGCAGAATTTTTGTGTTAACAGACGACTTCCAATAATAATTTTCAACAAATGCTACAAATTTTAGGGTAACCATAAAAATAGGGCTCACTGTGGTCGAAAAAGTACGTGTGTAACATGGTAGAAGAATACAGGTAGGTGCATCAACATAGATGCTGGGACAATGAACTGTCAAACCAATTTTGAAATAGAAAATTTTGAATGAAAAATTGTTAAAATTCGTTAAAATTGTTGAAAAAATGCAAAGATAAAAATTGTTCCTATTTTTAATAAAAAAAGTTTAAAATTAAATATCAATGTTGCCAGGCTTTTATACATCTACCTCTATTCTTCTACCATGCATTGTTCTAAAACTTTGATAAGGTGTGGTACACACTATCATTTTTGACTATTATTTAAAAAAGAAACTAAGTACCAATTTTTGAAGTTAAAAAAGTAACGGCGAATTCAAGGCAATATAAGTTATCAGGATTTATTGCTTAATCAGAATTTATTCAATTAGATTTGTCATAAAAAATAGATCTTCCGACGACTGATTGATTGTGTTTGTGAATGTAAACAAACATCAGCTGAGCGGCATTTATATCCTCCTAAAGGTGTATCTAAACACACTAGATTTAACCATTGGATCTTCAATAGTATAAGGCAAGATAAAAAAAATTCGTCTTCCTAAAGGTGAGAATATATAAAACTCTTTTTTGACTGGCTTATGTCCTCGGCTGGCTTCTTCGGAGAAGAACAAAGGAGCATAGGGCCAAAATCGAACTAAGTCTACTTAAAACTCCTTTGTTTTTTTACGAAGAAGCCAGCCGATGACTTAAGCCTGTCAATAAAGCTTTTTATGTGTTCTCACCTTTAAGATCGAGTACTTCAGAAGGGGGTTGCCATAAACAATTTTTGACATTTCAATGTTCCCATGCGTTGATGCATCTACCTGTATTCTTCTACCATGGTATGTACTTTACTCATGTATTTCACAACTGAAACGTCCTTCATGTATCACACGATGTGTACAACTTCTACGTATGGAAAATTTGACACTACATATGTAAAAAACATTTCGTCTGATAGAACCCTAACTAGTAGAGTCTTGCAGACTTGCTAAAGATCTATTCCATAGAATAGAACCTATGTTTATTTCATTAAAAATTTATGAAAATCAATTCAATTATTTCAATTACCACCCCCAACAAAAGCAAACACCCTTAAAAAATTTATAATTTACAAAATTGTACATTTATTCATTTTCGCAGCAGCATTTAAAATTATATAATATTTTCAGTTGTTCTTGTGTGTTTTTTTGTTCTTATTATCATTTTTAAATTTGAATACAATTTGTTTTTGAGTCTATTTACATATCAAAATAAAGGTACACAATTTATTTATAGGAATGTTTCTGTTTTGTTGTTCTGGTTGTTGTCACCGGCCATGGGGCATGTGGGCGTTTTGAATTCATTGTTGCCTTTTTAAGAAATTATAGAAAATGACATCCTTGTCCTTCCTGAGCTGTGTTGTTGACAAACGAAAAGAATCGATACAGCATCGTCACGCTTCCGAACTTATGTTCTTGTTTTAAACAATTGCTTAATGGGTGGATGTTTGTAGCGTGCGAAAATTTCTTTTTTGAAAATCTCAAAACGTTTACTGTTGATGGTGTTCTGTTGTTCACGCCACGATGGACGGGCATTCTTTTTCTGCAAACCCCAGTGACAGGTGAAGACCGGTGTAAGGACATGAAACGAATAGCCAGCTATATACATTTCATAAACCTGTAATGCAAAAAAAAAAGTATCATTGGTAGAATTAAGAAGGTAACCTCATGCAAGCCTGTTTTAAAAGTTTTTTTTTTTTTTTTTACATTATGCGGTTGACATCTCATTATCAAAATGTATATTCATAAATCAACAGAACTCATGGTGGAAGAATACAGGTAGATGCACCAACGTTTGGGAGCATTGAAATGTCAAAAAAAATTGTTTGCTATTAAAAATATTCGTAAAAAAATAAAAATATTCTTATATATTAAAAAAATACCACTACGTCATAAAAAACTTCCCAAAATGTCAACTCGACTGTTAAAGGTTAAAAGAGTAGTGAGAACATCACATAAACGAATCAGTTGGACAATATTGTATCTATAGGTCCCAGTTATTATGCAGAGAGAAAAGTGATTGACATTATCGAAATAATTGTTGTATATACGGATTGAAATTCACAATTTTGTGTAAAAATATACAAGCTTATACTTATAAAACAAAAAGTTATTAATTTTTTTTATTCATTTATTTCTTTTTTTTTTGTAAAATTACGTCCCAAAATGTCACCTCAACAGTTAAAGTTTAAAAGAGTAGTGAGAACATCACATAAATCAATCAGTTGGACGATATTGTATCTATAGATCCCTGTTATTATGCAGAGAGTAAAATGGATGAATTATCGAAATAATTGTTGTAAAAAATGTTGAAATGCATAATTTTGAGTAAAAATATTCAAGCTTATACTTATAAAACAAATATTTAATAATTTTATTTATTTATTTTTTTTTTTTTGTAAATTTACGTCCCAAAATGTCACCGCAACAGTTAAAGTTTAAAAGAGTAGTGAGAACATCACATAAATCAATCAGTTGGACGATATTGTATCTATAGATCCCTGATATTATGCAGAGAGTAAAATGGATGAAATTATCGAAATAATTGTTGTAAAAAATGTTGAAATGCATAATTTGGTGTAAATAGCGCATTTTATCAAAAAAAATTGTTATATCGCCAGCATGAAATCATGGTATAGGTAGCGATCAGTAAATATAGCAAAGCTGTCAATTTCGTTCTTTGAAAAACATAGCTCTCTGTAATAGAGAGTATTATGAAGTTAAGTCAATTGGGGAAGACCCCAGCCTTAGGGTGAGAATATATAAAACGCTTATTTGGCTGGCTTAATCGGAAAAGAAAAAAGGAGCGTAGGACTAAAATCGAACTAAGTCAACCTAAAACCCCTTTGTTTCCTTACCATGGTAGAAGAACATAGGTAGACGCATCGACACAGCTGCTGGTACAATGAACTGTCAACCCAATTTTGGAATTGAAAATATTGAATGAAAAATTGTTTTAATTTGCAAAAATTCTTAAAATACACGAATTGTAACAACCTCCGAATGACGTCGTATAAGAATACATATAAAAATCTACTTATATTTGAAAAGACATTTAAATTTTTTTTTGACATCAATTTTCCCAAGCATTGATGCATCTACCCGTATTCTTCTACCATGGTTTCCCTACGAAGAAGCCAGCCGATGATTTAGGGTGGAAATACAAAAAGCCCATATTTGGCTGGCTTCTTCGTAGATGAACAAAGGAGTTTTAGGTTGACTTAGTTCGATTTTGAGGCTAGGCTCCCTAGGCTCCTTTGTTCATTTCCGTAGAAGCCAGCCGATGACTTAAGCTAGCCAGATAAGCGCTTTATGTATTCCCACCTTTAAGCCAGTCATATAGCGTTTATTCTTACCCTTAATCAATCTATGGTATTTAACATTTTAAAAAAATATTAAAATTCTTGTTGAAAATACAATTTTTGAGCCTTTGGGCAAACTTATGGTACGTTTACATTTCAAATAAAACCTCATACAAAAAGTTAACCCGATAAAAAAAAAAACTATAATGTAAACATGCTTGGGTGCTCTTGTACTGTCTTCTTGGGTGCCCCTGTACTGCCTTCTTTTGGGTGTTCTTGTACTTTAAAAAAAAAATAAACTTCCCATACACCTCAAAAAAAAAAAACAAAGATAAATTACAAACCTGCGAATTTCTCGTAAATCCATAGCCAACAAAACGCTCATCATGCGGGGGCGCATTATCCAAAGCAACATAGAAGGGTTCATAGAAGAATTCATAATTTGTCACTTGATGACTAATCGAGATACGGTCATCAGTCTGGGTATTGGCCAGCCAACTGTAAAAATAATAAATAAATAAACAAATATGCAGACACGGTCCACACGAACCCAATCGCACACACACAGAAACACACCCACACACTCAAATGGTCGATGAGAAAAATCACACGAAATGAGCAAAGGAAAAGAATCTCGAACAAAAGAAAAATTGCTGAAAATCATAATCACACAACGGATCGCAAATAGGGAACGACTGACATTGTCTAAAGCTGATTCATATTCACATCGACCACTACCACACACACCAAACATTCTTAAATGCTATCACATTTTTCGCACCTCGAGAAATTCGTAGCAAACTGATTGTAGATGAAAACTTTTTCATGGAACGGCCGTGCCAAACCTCTTTTGATTAGACGTAGCAATTCGCTTTTGTGCGAGGGAAAACGCACACGCTCATCGATCTCGAGTGTTGGTATGACGTAAGCACACAGCCCCGACGAACACCTGGCCGACGCTGTGGCAAGAAACTCATTCAGCAGCGGTACAATGTTTGCACTCGGTATGATGTCGACATCGGTGAGGAATACATATTTCGTTTGACAGCCTTTGCGGGCAAAGTTACGCAAATGATTCTGGGGATAGAGATTGCGAAGACGCCAACGTTTCGTTTCGCTCGTACGCAGCTGGGATATTTTCAGAAATGTCTTCAGCGGATAGCGGCAATCGAACATTTGCAGCAGCTTATAGGCATCGGCCGTCTCGTGTTGGGGTCTCCGTTCACGGGGATATGCCAAATGGAATGTCACATTGGAGCGTATGAAATCGAAGCAGAGCCGCAAATAGGTCACATAATATTGGAGGATGGTGAATTCATCATTGCCGGCCACAAAGACAGCAATGGATATGGGTCCTTGAAATTGTTTCGCCACCTCGGCCAGTGAGTGCAGACGTTCCACCGATGTCTGGGTGGCCAGGCATATTAAACTATCCGCCGATGATTCTTCATAGTTATCACCGACCAGGGCAAAATCAAATAGCTTGTATAAACGTTGATTATCCCAACGGCCTAGATTAAGAGATAGATTTTGAAAAGCCAATGAAAACGACTCTAAGCTATTTAGAGATTTTACTTGTTCCGCCAAGAGTTGTGATGATGTCAGGTGCTGTGCTGCGGCCAGAGTTTGTTTACTATCACCATAGGGACTATTTACACCGGCAGCAGCAGCATTTAATGTCATACGACGATTGCCATTTAATAGCGTAGCATTACGATTTGTCAATGTCTGTAGATTTGACAGATGTTGACTGACAAAACATAAACGTATTGTCCAAATCACATTACAAAAGAGCAAAATAATCGATGTCACTTTGATGGAGAAGTATTTTTTATGCATCTGCAAAAAAAAAAACGAAAACAAGAAAGAGAGGCAAGAGAATAATGAGAGTGAGCGTATTTTCAATTTGTATCATGGTAGAAGAATATAGGCAGACGCGTCGACACAGCTGCTTGGACAATGAACTGTCAAACCAATTTTGGAATTAAAAAAGTTGAATTAAAAATTATTTAAATTTGTAAAAATTGTTGAAAAATGCGAATTATAATAGCCTCCGAATGACGTAGTATAAGAAAGTATATAAAAATCTACTTATATTTGAAAAAATATTTAAATTTTTTTGACATACCAATGCTCCCAAGCGTTGATGCATCTATTTATATTCTTCTGCTATGATTTGTATACTTACGATGGTAGAAGAATACAGGTAGATGCATCAACGCTTGGGAACATTGATATGTCAAACATTTTTAAATGTCTTTTCAAAAATAAGTAGATTTTTATATGTTTTCTTATACGACATCATTCGGAGGTTATAAAAATACGCGTTTTCAACAATTTTTACAAATTTAAATAGTTTTTCATTCAAGATTTTCAATTCCAAAATTTGTTTGACAGTTCATTGTCCCATCAGCTGTGTCGATGTGTCTACCTATATTCTTCTACCATACTAACAGTGTAAATAAATCGAAATGGTCAGATGGCATCCCTAGTTTTACAATTACTCAAAAAATAAAGGTACATTTCGAAGAAATAAACTTTTACTTACCATTATATTTCATAAAACCAATTTGCAACTCTTCGCCATATGTTTCAGTTGGATTGTTGTTATTTCTAATTTGTTATTGCATTATCAGTTAATTTCTTTCCTTTAATTTGTTGAAATAATTTCCAAATCAAAGAGATATGTTACGCTATTATCACTCTCTCGCTCTCTCTCTCTCTCTTTGTGTATCACATAAAAGGGGAATATTTTGTCATTTTCATTGCTTCCTTAACTTTTTTACATCCTTCAGGGGATTTTTCAATGTAAATTTTCCGAACCTTGACAATTAATAATCTGAAAAGACCAAACAAAAGTTTAAATGCCGTAAACTAGGTTTAAAGATAATCATATAGAGCATGGTACATGGCAGAAGAATACAGGTAGATGCATCAACGTTTGGGAGCATTGATATGTCAAAAAAAAATGTTTTTTCAAATATAAGTAGTTGTAGTAGTTTTTTCAAATATAAGTATGTTTTCTTATACTAAGTCATTCGGAGGCTATTATAATTCGCGATTTTCAACAATTTTTACAAATTTAAATAATTTTTCATACATTCCAAAATTGGTTTGACAGTTCATTGTCCTAGCAGCTGTGTCGACGCGTCTACCTATATTCTTCTACCATGGCATGGTAGAATTAAGGAGGTAAATTCATACAAGCATATGTTCACAATTTTTATTCATTTGTACATCAGAGATGGGAACCTGTTTTTTATGCAGTGAAATTTGACAAGTTAAATTATAGGAAATTCAGAAATGGGAATGCTTATTTGAAATGACGTTGCTTTACCTTGCTATAGATTTTGTTTACATAAATTGGCTTTTAGGGATATCACATGGTAGAACTAAGAAGGTAAAATCATGTAATCATATGTTTACATTTTTTTATATATGTTTTTTTCATATGTTTACATTTAATTTGACAAAACAACTTTTTGCATATAATTTTGAATATTTATGACAGAAAGCCGTCGTTGCCTCAGGGCTGTATTTCTGTAGTTTTACGAAGCTGTTCTACCTTCTTATTGTACCATGATTTTAATTAAAAGTGTTGTTTGTTTGTTGTATAAAAATATAGACTAGGAATGGTCTGTTCCAGAACGTAAGAATGTAAAACGACATCCAATTTTTCCTTTATGATATCAGAAAAATTTGTAAAACTTACAGATTCTTGCAGGTTCTAGAACAGAGCATAAATTTGCTGTAAAAATTCAACCATGGTAGAATTAAGACGGGAAAGTCATGTAATTATATGTTTGCATTTTTTTAAATTATTCAATTGACATCTCCAGTGCATATATACTTTTTCGATCACAGCGAGACCTACTTCTTTTGAAAAAAATATGATTTAATGAAAAGTGTTGCTTTTATTGTGCAAAAATATTCAAAATTACATTTGCGGTAAAAAAAATTCATCTATAAAGAATAATATTTTTTATAAAATACAATTTAATCACAATATAATAGAAAAAATATATGCAATTGTGTGATATCAAAAATGATCAATCATATTGCCATGTTTATGTTAGAACTTTTAGCAAGGTTAACCTACTTCAAGAGGATTTATTTGAAGTATAAGTAATGGATATGACAATTTTAATCCAAATCCAGTGGGTTAACCCATTTATATGTAAACGTACTGTATGGCTATTGCATGGTAGAAGAATACAGATAGATGCATCAACGCTTGTGAACATTGTTATGTCAAAATTTGTTAAATGTTTTGACAAAAACAAGTAGATTTTTATATGTTTTCTTATACCACGTCATTTGGAGGTTATTATAATACGCCTTTTTCAACAATTTTTACAAATTTAAATAATTTTTCATTCAACATTTTCAATTCCAAAATTGGTTTGACAGTTCATTGTCCCAGCAGCTGAGTCGATGCGTCTACCTATATTATTTTACCATGAGCTATTTTGACCTACACACGGAAATACACATGGATAATAAAAGTGACAGCACATATGTAAGACCCATTCCGTCTGATAATGCCTTCATTTTGAGACCTTGGCAACCAACACAGGACACCAATCATAATTACACATGTTTTTTTAAACAGATTAACGTTCAGATTACGTGCATGCATGTGTGCTTTGACCCAATTTTGTACAAATCAATCAGGACACACATTTTAACCAATTGATTTGAGTTACCAATACAACCATGTAAATCAAGACTGTATTCACGTACATGCATCAAAACAAGAGGGTTGAAAATTATTTACGAGAAAAAGTAATGTTTTTGTTGTTGTTTTTTTTTTTTTGCAAAAAAAAAAAATGTTCGCTACAAGAATAATGAATCACCTTGTATGTTTTCATGAAAACATTGCGGAACAAAATTGCTACAAGGATATGGACATTTCCAAAGGATATTCACACGCACACACACACACACACACACACAAATGAACTAAGTTTACACAAATCAGTCGAAGTTAGTAGTAAATTGTTGTTATTCTTTTTTTTACAGATTAGATTTTCAGATAAAATGGTTTAAAATTGAACTAATTATTTGTTATTCTTATTTAATTATAAATTCACACAAAAAATATTCGATTTAAGTGTATAAGGATAATGAAAAACAAGTTTAGCAAATATTATTGTACCGATAATTGGGGATGGAACTTTGGGATATCAATTATCTTTCTTGTCAATACCCAACGATTTTCTGTTATCGATAATTGAAGTAGACGGGTGATAATCGAACGGATGTTACAAACGTAACAGCTGATTGTGTTTTATGCTTGAATATGATGTTAATAACAGAATTATGTTAAATGACTTGAAAGAATTTCGATTTTCATTAAATTATATAAAAAAATTAGCCATTTCTTCTTTTTAATAAAAATTGGCACTAATTGGTACAATAATAATAAAAAAATAATTAATTCTTCCACGTTTCAGCAAATTTATGTATGGCTAAATATTTCCGTGCACAATTCATGTACGACAAATTCATTATCCTGACCTAGTAAACATCGAAATGTATAGGGTTTTGTTTATTTTACAGACCTCATTAGCACGTAATGAGTATTCAAATTTTGTTTACGTGTTTACTTGTAATTTTTTTCGATTTTTTTTCTTTTCCTTTTTTGGTAATATATAGGTCATTGCACAGAGTTTTGTCAATAAACAATGTTGCCATGGTAATCTCAATATAGGAGCTATAGCTCAACAAAATTATTATTATGGAGTTTTCGAAAGTATGAAAATTAGTAGTGTTTGAATTTGCAAGCAGGCAATTTGTCATACGATCGGAACTAACAATTGATTTGGAGAAAGAAAAGGTATGAAAACTAAATAAAAACATAAAAAACGGTAAAAGTAAAATATAATATATTCAGGGCGGACATTTTTCGATTTTTTTTTAATTCGACTTATTTTCAAGATGATTCAAATGAACTGTGAAAATCATACGATATGAAAAAGTTAATTGTAACCAATTTGTGTAGTAAATTTAACAATAATAACTATTAAAAAATGTTGTAAGTTCGGCCGGGCCGAATTTTGATTGCCCTCCACCACTTGGAACTAATTTGCCAAATCTCAAAAACAATAAAATCCGTTAAAAATTCTGTTAAAATCTTAAAAATATCGAATGTAGATGTTATAATAAAGTCTATACGAGGATATGGACCTGCATAGGTAACAATATTCAAATGCGAAACTTAAAAAAAAATCGGCCAAATCATCGAAATACTGAATATCGAAAGGTACCGTTATATGGGGGCTATACGAAGTCTTGGACCTGCACAGAAAATTTTCTGTCTTAGGCTGTAGTACCCATTACGAACTTCAAATACCAAATTTGAAACAAATATCGAATATCGGGAGGTACCGTTATATGAGGGCTATATTAAGACCTGTACCTGTACAGACTATTTTCTGTCTTAGGCTGTAGTATCCATTATGAACTTCAAATACCAACTTTGAAACAATTCCGGTGAATAATGTCGCTAAAATCAACAAAGTACCGAATATCGGGAGGTATATGGGTTATATGGGGGCTATACGAAGATGAGGACCTGCGCAGACAATTTTCTGCCATAGGCTGTAGTATCCATTGCGAACTTCAAATACCAAATTTGAAACAATTCCGGTAAATAATGTCGCTAAAATCATTAAAATACCGAATATCGGGATGTACAGTTATGTGGGGGCTATATGAAGACATAGACCTACACAGACAATTTTCTGTCTTAGGCTGTAGTATCCATTACGAATTACAAATACCAAATTTGAAACAATTCCGGTAAATAATGTCGCTAAAATTATCAAAATACCGAATATCGGGAGGTACAGTTATGTGGGGGCTATGTGAAGACATAGACCTGCACAGACAATTTTCTGTCTTAGGCTGTAGTATCCATTACGAACTTCAAATACCAAATTTGAAACAATTCCGGTTAATAATGTCGCTAAAATCCTCAAAATACCGAATATCGGGGGGTACCATTATATGGGGGCTATACCAAAACGTGGACCTGCATGACCCATTTTCAATACCAAAAGTTCTGCAGACACAATACACATTTGAGTAAGGGTGGAAACACATAAAGCGCATATTTGGCTGGCTTAAGTCATAGGCTGGCTTCTTCGTAGATGAACAATGGAGTTTTAGGTTGACTTAGTTCGATTTTGGCCCTAGGCTCCTATGTTCTTTTCCGAAGAATCCAGCCGATAACCTAAGTCAGCCAAATAAGCGCTTTTTGTATTCCTAGCCTAAGATTTTATCAATCTACTTCATTTCGTTCGGAAACTAGAGTGATTTCCGCAGTCGGAAAAACGGTCGGACATCGCTAAATCGACATAAAAATTTATGCTGATTAAGAATATATGTACTTTGTGGGGTCTAAACTGCATATTTCGAGGTGTTACAAACGGAAGGACAAACTTAATATACCCTTCATACTATGGTGGAGGGTAAAAAAATGGAGGAATAGCTATTAAAATTGGAAACAAGCTTATTTTGTTTCTAATATTTATGTCGGATGCTATTTTCTACGTTCATTTTTAATTGCTCAGAAACGCAGAAAAAAACCAGCTCCATTTTTTTCTCATTTTGCTGCAAGTTGTGCATAGGGGCATATGGTATATTCCAGAACCTGCAAGAATCTACTATTTTGGCAATATTTTCCGATATCATAAAGGGAAAATTGGTTATCGTTGTAAAAAGTTGTATATTCTAGCAGTTGTGGAACAGATCAATGATTTTTTCCAGAACCTGCAAGAATATACATGTTTTTACTACAATAACCGATTCTCCCTTTGTGATATCCATAGAAGATTCTTGCAGGTACTGGAACAGAGCAATGACCTCTTCCAGAACTTGGAAGAATCTACTATTTTTGTAATATTTTTCGATATCATAAAGGGATAATCGGTTATCGTAGAAAAAAATTTAACATGCTTGCAGTTCGGGAACAGACCAATAGTTTATTATAGAGCATTCTAGTTAAATCGGCAATCTATACTAAATACATAATCTGTAATCTTTCTTGTCCCAAAAAAAAACTCCATATTTTGTCCTTAGTATTTAACTTTGTATAAATTCTACCCATTTCTCTCATTACTAAACATTATGTACTTCTCTCCATTCCATTGCAGCACAATGTGTGACACATACGTCTCTTGTTATCTCCATGACTGTTATGCTTCGTGCTCGTCGTATTATTGTTGTTCTCATAGTCATGTCAAACTTTATTGTCGCTGTTCCAGACATCGTCATTGCTACTGTTATTGCTGGAGAAGGAAATGTCTGTTGTAAAATGAGGCACGACGCGTTATGCAGTCGACATGAATGACTATGGAAATACAAACAACAACAACAAACACTCTCACACACACTATAGCACGAAATACTTTCACCAAATTTATGTTACTAGTTTAGTTGTTAGTTTAGTTTAAAAAAAAAAAAGAAATAGGAAGCTCTGTAAAATCTAAATTTATGACTCATACGAAACAAATAAAACAAAAGATCTTGCAATGAATCGGAAAAAAATAAGAGTGTGTTTTTCTAGCTTATGAAAATTTGCCTAATGCGACTAAATTTTATACCATAAATAGTTTTTTTTTTCTAAAAGTACGATTAAATTACGTTTACATACAACTTTTTATCCAGATTAAGTCTCATGGTAGAATAATATATGTAGACGCATCGACAAAGGGTACAAGAATATAGATAGATGCATCAACGCTTGGGAACATTGATATGTCAAATTTTTTAAAGTGCTATGTCAAAAATAAGCAGATTTTTATATTTTTTCTTATAGGACGCAAATCGGAGGTTGCGGTGATATGTATTTTTCAACAATTTTTACAAATTTCAATAATTTTTCATTCACGATTTTCAATTTCAAAATCGGTTTGACAGTTCATTGTCTCAGCAGCAGTGTCGATGCGACTACCTGTATTCTTCTACCATGCATCGACACAGCTGCTGGGACAATGAACTGTCAAACCAATTTTGGAAATGAAAAGGTTGAATGAAAAATTATTTAAATTTGTAAAAATTGTTAAAAAAAAAACTCGAATTATAATAAGCTCCGAATGACGTCGTATAAGAAAACATTTAAAAATCTACTCATATTTGAAAAAGCATTTAATTATTTTTTGACATATCAATGCTCCCAAGCGTTGATGCATCTGCCTGTATTCTTCTGCCATGTTAAGTCTGATGAGACCATACCATGGTAGAAGAATACAGGTACTCGCATCGACACCGCTGCTGGAAACACATAAAAATCTAATTATTTTAAACATTTTTAATTTAATTTTTTAATGTCCCCGAGATTGCTAAAATCAAGAAAGTAATGCCATGCAAGCATATGTTTACAATATTTTCAAAATTATTCGTACATTTTTTGAATTTTATTGAATGAAAGCAAAAGATGTCGGAAATAGCATCAAATTTTAGAAAAAGTTTAGATTTGTTCGAAATGGTCACCTTTGGCACGAATTAAGTGCTTTAAACGGCCAATAAAACCGTCACACGTTGTCCGAATGTTGCTCTGCGGTATTTTGGTCCCGACGAAGCGCTTGCTTGAGGTGATCGACCCTTGACCCTTAACTATGAAAAAACTACCTAATTCTTCACACAAAATTTCCTGAGCGAACACTCATATTTGTACGTTGTTCAATTCAAATCACTCTCAGAACAACGAAAAAATATGTCCCATCCCTAACAAATGAGAGCATTTATCGAAAAAATAAATTATGACATTTAAAATTAAAAATAGAAAAATGTAATGAAAATTTAAAAATTTTTGGGAAGACTGAAAATACTACAATGTTGAATGGCGTATGTACATTCAAACGAAAGTAAATTTTGTTTTCTCTCTCATTCGAAGTACGCATTTGGTCCACGAGATGAAATTTCCACAGAAAACTGCAAACAAAAGAGGCAATATTTTCAAAATGTTTCTATTGACAGAAAAAATGTTTGACAAGTGTCTCTCCAGTAGAATTTAAAAATGGAAAAAATGAAAACGTGAATGAAAATTATAAAATTATTGATATAATACATATTTGGGAGAAAAACAATCATTTCTTTTATTCATATTAGTGAGTATTTAATGTATTTTAGTATAAATTCCCATTAAAATCAAGAAACAAAATTTTTGAAAAAAGGAATTATTTTACTATGAATTACGAATCGTGCCGTATGAACGGGTTAATTCGTGTACCTAATTCTGAGAGCGAACAACGTTGTTCGTTTCCAATGGAAACATGCTATAAAACATCATCGTTGAAAGTAGTTGTTTTTCATCCCATTCATATGACGATTATTGATGTACAGCGTTGAAAGTCGACCAATCGATTAATCGCAACTCGATTTACATATCCCTACTGTGTTTTGATATTGAGCGAGAATACGAAGAGAGAGAGAATTTTGTGCAAGAAAATCACTTAAGGAAAAAACTACCAGAAAACTGAAAAGTTGTAAAATAAATTGACAACTATGTTGCAAAAAAACTAAAGGACATTGTCCACCACAGAAGCGGTGCATAATCCATTGAAATCGCCACAGAATAATCTAAAAAGTAACGTAGTTGTTTATCAATTTTCTAATCAAAAAGGTGTGAACAAATCGCTTTCAACTCTGCGAAAAAGTTCTGTATCTCTTCACGGGTTTTCGTTCTCTGCTGGTTAAAGTGTTTTCGGTGGAAAACTAAACTGCTAATTCAAGACAAGTTACCTTACGAGTTCGACAATCCATGGCAAAGTATGCTGATGGCAGTTAGTTCTTAATCCATATTATAATGCAGAGAATCTCGTCAAAATTGAGCTCCCCCATGCCGTGTCGCGAGTATGTATGTTAAAATTTTAAGTATATAATGGATTCTCGGAGGACAACATATTTCTATACATTGTTTTTGGTATACATATATGTGGTGACAGATAGAAAATTATTGCCCCAAATGGAATAAGAGATGAATTGCATGGGTAATTTTTGTTATTAAGAAGCAGAAGAAGACGACGAAGCAGCAGGCTATAAATATGGACAACAAACCAGAAGTATTAAATTATATGGAAAATATGAGTGCAACAGCGGCAGTAGCAGCAGCGGCTGTAGATCCGGCATTGCATTATGGAATGTATGGCATGTTGGGTCATCCGCTGGCGGCCGGTGTTGATATCCCTGCTCCAGTTGCCGGGGAATATGACAGTACCACCAATTTACTCCATAATCAACAGCAGCAGCAGCAACAACAACAACAATTACAGCAGCACCACCAACAATTTATTGCAGAGCAACAACAACAACTCCAACAACATTTGGAAATGCAACAACAACATCTGCAACAAACCACATCACAACAAAATCAACTAACACCAGAGACAAGCAATGATACCAAACCTCCTCTGCCTTCCACGGAAGCCACATCATCCTGTAATCCTACAAATGAAACTAACAACTCCCCCACCACCGGCTCCAACATGGACAGCACAGACTCCAACTCGCCTGAGGCCCTTAAACGTAGGAATCCCACCCAGCCAAATGACAACAGTTTACTGGCCAAGAAACAGCATTTAAATCAAATGGCCGAAGAAAAAAAGAAATCAGTTTTACGTAAAAATATTCGCGAGGTAATGGATACTAATCAATTGGATACAAACACTCTAAAGGCCCAGCATGAGGAGTCCGAACGTCTGGCCCGAATGGCGGAACAGCAAAAGCTATTGCGAGAATATCAACAACGTGAAGCAGTATTAACCCATTTCGATCGTTTTGTCAATGAGCATCGTGTCAAGGATCCCTCGGATCTAATCGATGAGAAGGGAAAGGCCATAAAGCAGTTGCAGGCCCAGCCGCCAATTATTAAGGAAGACACTGAGGTGTTGGGCGAAGAAGATGAGGCCAAAAAGAGTCCGGCGGAATCTATGGTGGAAAGCAATGATTCCAAGGGCTTTGAAGACAAGGATGCCGCCACCCCGGCCGCCGAAGTTGTTACCATTGATGATAGCTCCGACGATGACGATTGTATTGTCCTGTCCGACGATGAAGTCGAGGAGGAAGACGATGACAACGATGATCCGCACAACAGTGGCATGCATGTCAAAGATGAATTCAATGTACCCGATCATTTGGGTCGTGTTGTCATCAATGTGGGTCATCCCGATGATGAGGAGGATATTTTCATCGCTCCTCAAATTGCCAGAACCATAAAGCCCCATCAAATCGGTGGGGTGCGTTTCCTGTTCGACAACATTATAGAATCGCCCAAACGTTTCAATGATTCTGGCGGCTTTGGTTGTATTCTGGCTCACTCAATGGGTTTGGGCAAAACACTCCAGGTGGTTTGTTTCTGTGATATATTCTTAAGGTATACACCAGCCAAATATGTGGTCTGTGTTATGCCCATCAACACCCTACAAAATTGGAATGCCGAGTTTGATATGTGGATACCCAAGTATTCGGATAATCCGGAATACATAAGGCCACGGGAGTTTGATGTGTTCGTACTTAATGACCAGCAAAAGACATTGACAGCACGATCCCGCGTCATATTGCAGTGGAAGGAGAGAGGCGGTGTTCTGCTGATTGGCTACGAGCTGTTTCGCCTGCTGGCCCTTAAATTGAACTCCACCAAACGTCGCAGCAAGAAACAACAAATGATGAGCATGGATAACAATGAGTGTCGCAGCCCCCTAATGGATCAAGTCTATGAAGCTTTAGTTAAACCCGGTCCCGATTTAATCATTTGCGATGAGGGTCATCGCATTAAGAATGCCCAAGCCGGCATTTCGCAGGCCTTAAAACAAATACGCACCCGAAGACGCATTGTTCTCACCGGCTATCCCTTGCAAAATAATCTGCTCGAATATTGGTGCATGGTGGATTTTGTGCGTCCCAATTATTTGGGTACTCGCACGGAGTTTTGCAATATGTTCGAGCGGCCAATACAGAATGGCTTGTGTGTGGATTCAACACCGGATGATATCAAGTTGATGCGTTATCGTGCCCATGTTTTGCATTCTCTGCTGGTGGGCTTTGTCCAGCGACGTTCACATCGAGTGCTGCAACAATCGCTGCCCGAGAAACAGGAATATGTTATACTCACCCGCATGTCGGAATTGCAAAAACAATTGTACGACACGTTTATGAATGACATCGTAAGGACGAAGAATGTTCCAAATCCCTTGAAGGCATTTGCCGTTTGCTGTAAAATATGGAATCATCCGGATGTGTTGTATGATGCCATGAAGGCGGCGGAGACTGGTATGGATATGGACATTGAGGGTGTGGATGAGGTGGATGCCATGCCGACAGCAAGCAGTGTGGCGAAAAATGGTTTTCCACCGCCGGTGCCAGGACCACCACCACCCAACCACAAATCGTCGTTTCAGGAACTATCACCATCCACGTCGGGCATGGCTGAAAATGGTACACAATTTGGGGAAAACCCCAATATTATGGGCCACAGCCAGCCTTTCCTGGGACAAAATGAGCCACAGAAACCAATGGAAAAACAAAATAATTTTCAAAGGTAGGGTAATTTTTAAACATTTATATTTGGATGATCTACTTATTATGGCTTGTTTTAATTTTAGCCCCTCCATATTTAGCGATTTAAATCAATACGAAAATCCTAATCTAAACACTTCGAATAGCTATAATCCGGATATGCAAACAAACTATTTCTCCTATCCCACCATGATGCACACCATGGGTAGTCCCCTGAAACCAAACTATGTTGGGTGCATGTTAAAACAAACCGGCATGGGCCCCAACGAATCAATGATAACCGAAGATTCTGGACACAACTCATCATCGGAAATTGTAGATTTAGATACGAATGAAATAAAAACAATTGAGACGGACATTGACATGGACAAGAATATTTCCCTGGATCGAGCAACAGGTGGCAACAGTGGTGGGGCATCAACCTCATCGGGCATATCGTCATTGGGCATTGATGGCTCCACAGAGACATCGTGTAGTACACAAAATGACATTGAGACCAAATCGGAGACGGGCAGTCATGTCAGCAGTTCCCTGGCCACGACGGAAAGTAATGACACAACAATTGAGAAAAAGGGTCCCGAGAAAATCACCTATGATTGGGCCACCAAATTTCTCAAAAAATATGAGCCCGGGCTCATAAAGAACTCGCCGAAAATGGAGATATTCTTTTGTATACTCAACGAAAGTATACAGATTGGAGATCGGGTTTTGCTTTTTAGTCAAAGTCTTTTGACATTGAATGTTATTGAGAAATTTCTGCAGGCCACCCGTATGCCTGGCTCGGACTCATGCTGGACATATAATACACACTACTTTCGTAAGCCCCCACCCCACCCCGTCTGATATATTTAAAAACAAAACATGTTAATTTTTTATTTGCTTTTCTTACAGGCTTGGATGGTTCAACCACATCACAGGAGCGTGAAAAATTGGTCAATGAATTTAATTCAAATACAAATGTTAAATTGTTCCTTATCTCAACTAAAGCTGGATCTTTGGGTATTAATCTAGTTGGAGCCAATCGTGTGATTATATTCGATGCAAGTTGGAATCCATGTCATGATACACAGGCAATTTATCGAATTTATAGGTAAGGCAAATTGCAAAAGGATCTTAACATTCTATATATTAAAAAAATGGTTATCTCCTTAGATATGGCCAAAAACGTTCGTGTTTTGTGTATCGTTTGGTCATGGACAAGTGTTTGGAAAAGAAAATCTATGACCGTCAAATCAAAAAACAAGGCATGTCCGATCGCGTCGTCGACGAATGCAATCCCGACGCCCATCTATCCATAAAGGATGTAACAAATCTATGCTATGACTACGATGACGATGATGAAAATCGCACAGCAAATAATAGTGATTTCCCCAAACCATTGGAATCCTATACCGATACAATTATGAAAATTATATTGACGGAATATAAAGCCCATCTGACGAAAGAACCATTCTTCCATGAAAGTCTATTGGTTGATCGACAAAATGATAAATTATCACAGGCTGAAAAACGCCAGGCTCATCGCAGCTATGAGATGCAAAAGAAAACCTCATCGAAGACAGCCATGTACACGACAACGGGACGGATGCCTTATCAAACGGTAAGTTGACATTCTCCCAAAACATAATTTTTAAAAAATACCGAAATAATCACAAACTAGGTACGTCCCATACAGAATCGAACCCAAACAGTTCAGAAAAATAGTAGCGGTTTACGTTCCACCCGATGGATACCAGCTGAGGTTTGGCAAAAGCAGGGCATGACGGCCCAGGAAATGTCATTGCCATTAGGTAAGGGAATGAGGCACATTGCCCTGACAAATGATTTAATTATTTTTTTTACAGATGTTGTTATACCCACAAATTCAAGTAATAAATCAAAAATCATCATAAAGGCCGGCCAACGTGTTATGGTATTGAAATCCGCCAAGGGCATTTATATGCAATTGGATAGTGGCAAAATTATTGCCATACGTACCCTCAACAAGCCAGCAACACCATCAACGGAGAAAAGTGATGTCATCGATATAACGGGTGAATCGGACACAATATCATCCAACAAAGATGCCAAGACTGAAAAGTCCGATGCTGATATATCACCGAAAGGTAGGGTGGAAGGGTCTTGAATAATTTAGATTTATTTGGGGAAAGAAGGAGGTATAGATACAATAAAAATGAAACGTCTTGGGATGTCTCAAGTAACTTCGAAAGAAAGTCTTAACATACCTGACATAAGAAGTTCTGAAAATTTTTTTCTAAGAAGATTTTCTGATTTAGGTCTACAGATCTTCTTGTAATATCCTAACATTTTCTTTGGAAAAATTAACCAAATTTCTCAAGGGAAATGCACCGTTTTTTTTTAGGAAAATTTAAACATTTCGCCCAAGACATTTGGATATTTTTTTCTAGGAAAGTCCCAGATTTCCCTAAAAAGAATGTAGATTTACATGACTTTTCTGAGCAAGTCCAATAGCTTTCCTCTTAAAATCTAATAAAATACAAAAATCTCCTATTCCTTACAGATTCAAATGCGGCAGATAGTTGCACAAATTCATCGGCCTCATCGTCTTTGGTAGCTGGAGCAGCGACAACGAAACAAACAAACATTGAAATGCCAAATGAAGCATCATCTTCCTCATCATCGTCAACCACAGCAACAACAACTCAGCAATTAGATTTGTTTAATAGTTCAACAGCCAGCAAGGCCAATGTAGATTTGGAAAATAAACAGAGAACTATTTCCAAAACAAATGCTGACAATCAAGAGACTTCGGCTACAATTGGCAATAACTTCCAGCAGAGGCAGCATTTAACACAACAGCCAATGTCACAAACGACAACAACAACACAACAGCAACGTTCGCAAAACACCCATCTGTCGGCACACACGCAAATGCTTAATGAACAACACCAACATCAACATCAACAACAAAACCAATTACAAAACCCCCATGCAACAACACAACAAAATAACCCAACATTAATGCATTCCTCTCAAGCTACAACATCGTCATCATCCTCGTCAGCAGCATCATCATCATCATCATCCACATCACAGTATCCAAGCCAACATCAAGCCTATAACATTTATTCTCAAACTCCTCGCAGTTCACAGCTTTACAATTCTAGGGGTGCAGCTGATTTCCATCAAACGGCAGCAGCAGCACCACCACCACAATTTACCGATTACCCAACCTATGGATCTCATCATCAGCAGCAACAACCACAACAACAACAAACTACAACACGCTATCATCCCACAACAAATTCATCACACACCGATTTATCATCCTCCGCCAGTCACACACATTCGCTTGCACCGCCACCTCATTCACATCCTGCCCCACCCGCATCGCTCTCGGACTTTTATGGGGCCTATTATCCGCAATGGTCGTCATTTATGTTGGCCTCACCTTCGCAAAATCCCGATGGGTCACATTTAATGCACAATGCTGCTGCAGCCGCAGCTGCTGCCGCGGCCGCTGCTGCTGCTGCCTCCACATATCCACCAATAGCACCGTCATCTCATTCACATTCCCATCATGCAAAAGTGCAGCCCAATACGCATCAACAATGGCCCCAGCATTATCATCCATAATTATTTGCCAAAATGCTAAATGTTTGAGAGGCCTACCTAGCTACATACATTTAATGATAAACATACACACCCCCCACATACATACATACATGCCCCTACCCACTACTTACATACAACATACATACATACAATACCAGAAGCATAAATACAATTTGCAAACCTAAATCTAAATTCACACATTCGTACATAGCATTCTAGTGTACGTAAGTGTTTTACTTTTAAATTAATATTTGATTATTTAATATTAAGCTGAAACAAAAAAAAAGAAGGAAATTAACTATTAATTATATTATTGAAAACATAAAAATCAAATAGTTTAGCAATAATTAATAAAAAAATGAATTAAATAAAAACAAATTATAATTTTAGAAGATATCTCAACGGCTGTTTTAATTTGTTTCTACGAAATTTAACTCCTTAAATATTGACATTTCGGGGTTTTTAGCATCGTTTTGATCGCAGATATTTAAAGAGGAAAAATAGGGTATTTTAAAATGCTCATAACTCCTTAAATATTGACATTTCGGGGTTTTTAGCATCGTTTTGATCGCAGATATTTAAAGAGGAAAAATAGGGTATTTTAAAATGCTCATAACTCCTTAAATATTGACATTTCGGGGTTTTTAGCATCGTTTTAATCGCAGTTTCTTTATAGCCTATTTTAAAATGCTCATAACTCCTTAAATATTGACATTTCGGGGTTTTTAGCATCGTTTTGATCGCAGATATTTAAAGAGGAAAAATAGGGTATTTTAAAATGCACATAACTCCTTAAATACTGACATTTCGGGGTTTTTAGCATCGTTTTAATCGCAGTTTCTTTATAGCCTATTTTAAAATGCTCATAACTCCTTAAATATTGACATTTCGGGGTTTTTAGCATCGTTTTGATCGCAGATATTTAAAGAGGAAAAATAGGGTATTTTAAAATGCTCATAACTCCTTGAATGTTGACATTTCGGGGTTTTTAGCATCGTTTTGATCGCAGATATTTGAAGAGGAAAAATAGGGTATTTTAAAATGCTAATAACTCCTTAAATATTGACATTTCGGGGTTTTTAGCATCGTTTTGATCGCAGATATTTATAAAGGAAAAATAGGGTATTTTAAAATGCTCATAACTCCTTAAATATTGACATTTCGGGGTTTTTAGCATCGTTTTGATCGCAGATATTTAAAGAGGAAAAATAGGGTATTTTAAAATGCTCATAACTCCTTAAATATTGACATTTCGGGGTTTTTAGCATCGTTTTGATCGCAGATATTTAAAGAGGAAAAATAGGGTATTTTAAAATGCTCATAACTCCTTAAAAATTGGCATTTCGGGGTTTTTAGCATCGTTTTGATTGCAGATATTTAAAGAGGTATTTTAAAATGCTCATAACTTCTTAAATTTTGACATTTCGGGGTTTTTAGCATCGTTTTGATCGCAGATATTTAAAGAGGAAAGATAAGGTATTTTAAAATGCTCATAACTCCTTAAATATTGACAATACGGGGTTTTTAGCATCGTTTTGATCGCAGATATTTAAAGAGGAAAAATAGGGTATTTTAAAATGCTCATAACTCCTTAAATATTGACATTTCGGGGTTTTTAGCATCGTTTTGATCGCAGATATTTAAAGAGGAAAAATAGGGCATTTTAAAATGCTCATAACTCCTTAAATATTGACATTTCGGGGTTTTTAGCATCGTTTTGATCGCAGATATTTAAAGAGGAAAAATAGGGTATTTTAAAATGCTCATAACTCCTTAAATATTGACATTTCGGGGTTTTTAGCATCGTTTTGATTGCAGATATTTAAAGAGGAAAAATAGGGTATTTTAAAATGCTCATAACTCCTTAAATATTGACATTTCGGGGTTTTTAGCATCGTTTTGATTGCAGATATTTAAAGAGGAAAAATAGGGTATTTTAAAATGCTCATAACTCCTTAAATATTGACATTTCGGGGTTTTTAGCATCGTTTTGATCGCAGATATTTAAAGAGGAAAAATAGGGTATTTTAAAATGCTCATAACTCCTTAAATATTGACATTTCGGGGTTTTTAGCATCGTTTAGATCGCAGATATTTAAAGAGGAAAAATAGGGTATTTTAAAATGCTCATAACTCCTTAAATATTGACATTTCGGGGTTTTTAGCATCGTTTAGATCGCAGATATTTAAAGAGGAAAAATAGGGTATTTTAAAATGCTCATAACTCCTTAAATATTGACATTTCGGGGTTTTTAGCATCGTTTAGATCGCAGATATTTAAAGAGGAAAAATAGGGTATTTTAAAATGCTCATAACTCCTTAAATATTGACATTTCGGGGTTTTTAGCATCGTTTTGATCGCAGATATTTAAAGAGGAAAAATAGGGTATTTTAAAATGCTCATAACTCCTTAAATATTGACATTTCGGGGTTTTTAGCATCGTTTTGATCGCAGATATTTAAAGAGGAAAAATAGGGTATTTTAAAATGCTCATAACTCCTTAAATATTGACATTTCGGGGTTTTAACATCGTTTTGATCGCAGATATTTAAAGAGGAAAAATAGGGTATTTTAAAATGCTCATAACTCCTTAAATATTGACATTTCGGGGTTTTTAGCATCGAAATGATCGGAAAAATAGGGTATTTTAAAATGCTCATAACTCCTTAAATATTGACATTTCGGGGTTTTTAGCATCGTTTTGATCGCAGATATTTAAAGAGGAAAAATAGGGTATTTTAAAATGCTCATAACTCCTTAAATATTGACATTTCGGGGTTTTTAGCATCGTTTTGATCGCAGATATTTAAAGAGGAAAAATAGGGTATTTTAAAATGCTCATAACTCCTTAAATATTGACATTTCGGGGTTTTTAGCATCGTTTTGATCGCAGATATTTAAAGAGGAAAAATAGGGTATTTTAAAATGCTCATAACTCCTTAAATATTGACATTTCGGGGTTTTAAGCATCGTTTTGATCGCAGATATTTAAAGAGGAAAAATAGGGTATTTTAAAATGCTCATAACTCCTTAAATATTGACATTTCGGGGTTTTTAGCATCGTTTAGATCGCAGATATTTAAAGAGGAAAAATAGGGTATTTTAAAATGCTCATAACTCCTTAAATATTGACATTTCGGGGTTTTTAGCATCGTTTAGATCGCAGATATTTAAAGAGGAAAAATAGGGTATTTTAAAATGCTCATAACTCCTTAAATATTGACATTTCGGGGTTTTTAGCATCGTTTTGATCGCAGATATTTAAAGAGGAAAAATAGGGTATTTTAAAATGCTCATAACTCCTTAAATATTGACATTTCGGGGTTTTTAGCATCGTTTAGATCGCAGATATTTAAAGAGGAAAAATAGGGTATTTTAAAATGCTCATAACTCCTTAAATATTGACATTTCGGGGTTTTTAGCATCGTTTTGATCGCAGATATTTAAAGAGGAAAAATAGGGTATTTTAAAATGCTCATAACTCCTTAAATATTGACATTTCGGGGTTTTTAGCATCGTTTTGATCGCAGATATTTAAAGAGGAAAAATAGCCAATTTTAAAATGCTCATAACTCCTTAAATATTGACATTTCGGGGTTTTTAGCATCGTTTTGATCGCAGATATTTAAAGAGGAAAAATAGGGTATTTTAAAATGCTCATAACTCCTTAAATATTGACATTTCGGGGTTTTAAGCATCGTTTTGATCGCAGATATTTAAGAGGAAAAATAGGGTATTTTAAAATGCTCATAACTCCTTAAATATTGACATTTCGGGGTTTTTAGCATCGTTTAGATCGCAGATATTTAAAGAGGAAAAATAGGGTATTTTAAAATGCTCATAACTCCTTAAATATTGACATTTCGGGGTTTTTAGCATCGTTTTGATCGCAGATATTTAAAGAGGAAAAATAGGGTATTTTAAAATGCTCATAACTCCTTAAATATTGACATTTCGGGGTTTTTAGCATCGTTTTGATCGCAGATATTTAAAGAGGAAAAATAGCCAATTTTAAAATGCTCATAACTCCTTAAATATTGACATTTCGGGGTTTTTAGCATCGTTTTGATCGCAGATATTTAAAGAGGAAAAATAGGGTATTTTAAAATGCTCATAACTCCTTAAATATTGACATTTCGGGGTTTTAAGCATCGTTTTGATCGCAGATATTTAAAGAGGAAAAATAGGGTATTTTAAAATGCTCATAACTCCTTAAATATTGACATTTCGGGGTTTTTAGCATCGTTTAGATCGCAGATATTTAAAGAGGAAAAATAGGGTATTTTAAAATGCTCATAACTCCTTAAATATTGACATTTCGGGGTTTTTAGCATCGTTTTGATCGCAGATATTTAAAGAGGAAAAATAGGGTATTTTAAAATGCTCATAACTCCTTAAATATTGACATTTCGGGGTTTTTAGCATCGTTTTGATCGCAGATATTTAAAGAGGAAAAATAGCCAATTTTAAAATGCTCATAACTCCTTAAATATTGACATTTCGGGGTTTTTAGCATCGTTTTGATCGCAGATATTTAAAGAGGAAAATAGGGTATTTTAAAATGCTCATAACTCCTTAAATATTGACATTTCGGGGTTTTAAGCATCGTTTTGATCGCAGATATTTAAAGAGGAAAAATAGGGTATTTTAAAATGCTCATAACTCCTTAAATATTGACATTTCGGGGTTTTTAGCATCGTTTAGATCGCAGATATTTAAAGAGGAAAAATAGGGTATTTTAAAATGCTCATAACTCCTTAAATATTGACATTTCGGGGTTTTTAGCATCGTTTTGATCGCAGATATTTAAAGAGGAAAAATAGGGTATTTTAAAATGCTCATAACTCCTTAAATATTGACATTTCGGGGTTTTTAGCATCGTTTAGATCGCAGATATTTAAAGAGGAAAAATAGGGTATTTTAAAATGCTCATAACTCCTTAAATATTGACATTTCGGGGTTTTTAGCATCGTTTTGATCGCAGATATTTAAAGAGGAAAAATAGGGTATTTTAAAATGCTCATAACTCCTTAAATATTGACATTTCGGGGTTTTTAGCTTTGTTTAGATCGCAGATATTTAAAGAGGAAAAATAGGGTATTTTCAAATGCTCATAACTCCTTAAATATTGACATTTCGGGGTTTTTAGTATCGTTTAGATCGCAGATATTTAAAGAGGAAAATAGGGTATTTTAAAATGCTCATAACTCCTTAAATATTGACATTTCGGGGTTTTAGCATCGTTTTGATCGCAGATATTTAAAGAGGAAAAATAGGGTATTTTAAAAATAGGGTATTTTAAAATGCTCATAACTCCTTAAATATTGACATTTCGGGGTTTTTAGCATCGTTTTGATCGCAGATATTTAAAGAGGAAAAATAGGGTATTTTAAAA